ATAGCCCGTGTACAGTTGCCACTGGCAACTGTACGCGGGCTATAGTACTACTAGTACTACTACTACTAGAGCTAAGGAATACGGTACCGCATCATTGTCACATTGACATTGATGTGGAATGTAGCAGCAACTAATTCATGTTAACTGTTCAACTAAATTCATCGTTGTACTCAACTTGTACTTGTAGTACATCCAGTAATGATAGTTGATACTTACTAACATCAACCTGGAATCCAGATGGCTATTCTCTTCGACGCATTGCCACTGCTGCTGCCAGATGGACTATTTATGCCTGTCTCATGTTTGCCGCCCACGTTTCAACATCAGTTTCGCCAGCTGCCAGAGAAGGCGAGAACAACAGCAACGGTTGTTCGGTTTCGTTCGCGCTTTTCTCTTCAGATTCCCAGCAGGTGGCGCGGCTTAGCCGATCGATAGTAAAAGATGTCAGGCGATTTGTTGTAGGTAACATGCATTGTCATTGTACTTGAAGTAGCGATACCTTTCTAGTTTCCCCTTCTAGTTCTAGTCTTATAAATATAAGTGAATTGTTCAGTTTAGTTTGAATTGAAAATCACAATTAAGCTCATTGTTGTAAGTAGATATACTGCCTATTAACCATGTAGTCACACTCACATGCACTTGGAACATTTCAATAATAAAAATTAAAATGATCACGAAATATATATATATAGCTTATATACTAGATAGTTATAGTATACTGCCATGATACTGATCCTGGCAAAGTCTTGTTTCTTTATGCCTACTCTCTTTCCCCTATTAATAGTAATAACCTTCTGTGTAAATGCCGTTCAGATGCTACTCTGTGATACACAAGTACACCGCACGCACGTCACTGTTACTGTGACTGTGGCTGAGAGGGTCTATGAACCCCCGGGGTACTGCCGGAACGTACCGTGGGTACAGTCCGGTATACCGGAACGTACCCTGGTACTATCTAATATGCCGAACCGTACCTCGTCTACTCCACTAACGAGTCTAGGGAGTCGCCTACGCCTACTCCCTAACCCGAACCCTAATCCTAACCCTAACCCTAACCCTAACCCTAATCCTAACCCTAACCATATCAAATAGTGACCAGGGTACGTTCCGGTATGCCGGACCGTACCCAGGGTACGTTCTGGCAGTACCCTGGAGGACATAGACTCTATGAGCGTCAGGGTTCTCCCTACGTTGCGCAAACGGGGGCGCGCGCGCCCCGTTTGGAAAAACTCCCCCCTGTTTCAATCGTTGCGCCCCGTTTAAATTACCTCCGCCCCGATTAAATTCCACCAAAATAAAAGTTTGACAGCGCGGGAATCGATCGTCAAGAATTCCCATTCGACCAGGACACCCGACTCGTGTATTTTTACCGTACCACGCATGCACTGCAGACCACACACAAGTTGTCCGGCATAAACCGACCAGGCTCTACGACTGTTACACGGCGTAGGAACAGCCAATGTAGCTTGACACTATAGCCAACGTAGTGTGGACACAGCCAACGTAGAAGGGAACTTGTGCTGAGAGGGTCTATGTCCCCCAGGGTACTGCCGGAACATACCCTGGGTACGGTCCGGTATACCGGAACGTACCCTGGTATCTAATATGCCGGACCGTACCTCGCCTACTCCACTAACGAGTCTAGGGAGTCGCCTACGCCTACTCCCAAACCCTAGCTCTAGTACTATAGTCCGCGTACATTGATTGCCGCAGGCCAATGTTGCCTGCGGCAGTCAATGTACGCAGGCTATAGTACTAGAGCTACCCAAACCCTAACCCTAACCCGAATCCTAACCCTAACCATATCAAATATAGTGACCAGGGTAGGTTCCGGTATACCGGACCGTACCCAGGGTACGTTCCGGCAGTACCCTGGAGGGACATAGACCCTATGAGCGGAACTTGTGGCTAGGTCCGGCATATTATTAGATAGTACCAGGGTACGTTCCGGCAGTACCCTGGGGGACATAGACCCTCTCTGTCAAACTAGGGGGTTACACGATTCACCCAAATCCACCCCCAAATCCACCAAATCCACCAAATCCACCCCCAAATCCACCCCCAAATCCACCA